TTGAGGTTAGAAAAGTTGCTACTACCCTCTTTCATAAGTGAATCAATTGAGAACAAATAGGAAAGTAACTTGCTTAAAATGATCCAGCTAATTTTCTATGATATATATAATAGACAGTATCCTGAGTGGTAAAACTGACTCTGCTGTGGGATGTCTTTCTGTATGTTGTGAATATATGTTGCTTCCGTTGGTTAACAATTAAAGCTGCATTGGCCTATGGCAGGGCAGAATGGAGCCAGGCAGGAAATCCAAGAGGAATAGAGAGAGAGGAAAGGTGGGGTCAGGAGAGATGTCAGCCTGCCACCCAAGGAGCAAAAAGATGCCAACAGACCGGTAACACCACGGCCACATGCAGATTAATAGAAATGAGTTGATTTAAGATGAAAGAGCTAGTTAGTAAGAAGCCTGAGCCGTAGGCCATATGGTTTGTAATCAATATAAGCCTCTGAGTGATTATTTTATAAGCAGCTGCAGGAGCTTGGGTGGGAGAGCTTTGTCCAGATGCAGGGTTAGGCGGACCGAGAAACTTCCCCTACATGCCTCAGTAAATTTAAAGATCTGAATCACGCAAACTGTATCTTCTGGCCTCAGTGGAACTAAATTAGAACTTATTGATAAGCTGTCATGGAGGCCTAGAAACTAGAACAACACATCTCACAGATCAAAGACAAATAAAAGAAAGACTGGAAACTATTTTGTTCTGGGAAACAAAATTAAGAAATGTCGAGGTGTGTAGAATGCAGCTCAAATAATGTTTCCAGGGGGAACTGCAACTTTAAAATGCTTCTGTTACAAATGAATAAACACCTAAAGTCAGTGACCTAAGTTTCTAATTAAGAAAATAGAGAGAGAGAGAGAGAGAGAGAGAGAGAGAGAGAGAGAGAGAGAGAGCTAAAAGCAAACAGAAGGGAGACCTAGGAATAAAGGCAAAGGCCAATGAAACAGAAAACAGAGGGCAACCAAGAAAACCGGCTAAGCCTGTATCTGGTTCTTTACAAAAAATTGGAAAAGACTGACAAACTTCTAAGTAGACTAATTTAAAAAACATTGACCACTAAAATGAGAAACAAGAAAGGAAATCAATGTAGATCCTACTGCTATCGAGAGAGTGATGATAACTCGGTGTAAAGAGGTCCAGCAGATGAAACGAAATGGACTTGAAAAATAAAACTTGCCAAAGCCAACACAAGAAACAATACATAAACCATCTCTGGTTATGAAGACATGACCTGTGTTATTAAAAGCCTGCCTAAAAAGAAAACACCACATGCAAATGGTTTTACTGGTAAAGTCTATCAAATCCTCCAGGAAAAAATGCACCAACATTCCACAAATAGTTTTAGAACTGAGAAGGAGAGGAATAGTTGCTCAACTGTTTTGCAGGTCTGATATTATCATCCTTGATGCTCAAATATGATAATGTTTAAAAGGGGGAAAATTATAGCTCAACATTCAGTAACAATGTTGACATAAAAGTCATCAGTAAATTTAATCCAATAGTACATAAATTGGTCAATTTATTATGATCAAGTAGACTTTACCCCTCTAAATCAAAGCTTTGTTTAATATTTGAAAAATCAATCTATTTCAACCAAATAAAAGTAATAATGGAAGAATCTCAAATGACCATTGCAATGTGTTTAAGTCATATGTTTGAGGCTGGGTGGATTGGTGTACACCTGTAATCCCAGGCCCCAGGAAGCTGAAACAGGAACATCTCTGAGAATTCAGTGCCAGCCCTGGCTACATGGTGAGACTATGGAAAAAAAAAAGAAAGATTGACTTTTGAAAAAAAAAACTTTTCTAGTTAAAATAAAAATTCACAACAAACTATGAATAGTAGTGCATTTTTAAAACTGCTAAAGGGCATCCACACACAAAAAACAAAGTATAAGAATCTATAATTGACATATGTGAGACAAAATTCTTTCTCCATGAGATCTAGAACAAAGCAAGGTGCCTGTGTACTTTCTCCACTGCTGTTCGGTGTGTGATGTTGGAGCCTGAAGTTGAGAACCTTCGGCACTATCGGGGAGTAGCTGGCCTAAAGGATGCATAGACACTCATCAACACAGGCGGACAAAAGTTGTGAGGAACCTGCAGTCTTGTGGATAGATACAATTATTCCCAAATAAGAACTGTGGGGTATTGGTGGGGATAAAAAAAAGTCAGCCAGGATCCAGGCATGAAGAGAACACCATATGAGCATGGACATCCCTTAGCTCCCCACCCTGTACCCACCTGAGTCTTGAGCATTGAAAACTCTACAAGCAAAGTATAATGCCCAGGGCAACAGAATGAAGGTGGTAACTGGCAGGTAGGAGACAGGTAGAGTCTGGGACTGAGAATCTCTTAAAGAAAGCTGAGCCCAATACAGAAATTCCTCGCAGCCATGAGGACACTGATTCAACTTCTTTTTTTTTTTTTTTTTTTTTTTTTTGGTTTTTCGAGACAGGGTTTCTCTGTGTAGCTTTGCGCCTTTCCTGGAACTCACTTGGTAGCCCAGGTTGGCCTCGAACTCACAGAGATCCGCCTGGCTCTGCCTCCCAAGTGCAGGGATTAAAGGCGTGCGCCACCACCGCCCGGCATCAACTTCTTTTAATTATAAGGATGTACACCCTTTTTTCCTCTGCAAAACCAGCTAGAAAAGACAACAGAGGAGAGAGAGCCATATTCATCTAGACCATGGAGAAATGCTGACTGGTGTTATAAGAGTTTTTATTTTATTTCTTTTTTAAAATTTACAATTTTGGATTTTAATTATTTAGTTATTTTGTTTTAGCTTGTGTAATATATAATGCCTGCATATACTTTTAGGAATATCCTTTCTTTTTCTGTACTGTTCTTACAATAGTTTCTGTATTTTTTTTTTTTTTACATTTTTAACCATATACCTTGCCTTGCTCTGGCTAATTTTACGTCAACTAGACACAAACTAGAGTCACTTGAGAACTTTAAATGAGGGAACTTTAAATGAGGAACTGTCTCTACAAGATCTGGCTATAGACAAGCACGTAGGACACATTCTTATTTAGTGATTGATGTGGGAGGGCCTATACCATTGTGGGTGGTGCCACCCTGGGATGGTGGTCCTGGGTGCTGTTAGAAAGCAGGCTAAGCAAGCCATGAGGGGCCAACCAGTAAGCAGCACTCCTCCATGGCCTCTGCATCAGCTCCTGCCTCCAGGTTCCTGCCCTGCTTGGGTTCCTGTCCTCACTGCTTTTGATGATGAACTGTTACAAGGAACTATGAGTGAAATAAACCCTTTCCTCCCCAAATTGCTTTTGGTCATGCTGTTTCATCATAGCAATGGTAACCCCTAAACTAAGAGAGATACATTTTCTGAGAGGAATAGTTGACCAAAGGTGAATTAGTAAGGGATCCATTATGTCCAAAACAGTAAACCAGCAAACTCCTAAAATCAGTAGAGGTGTTGAAGAACAAATAGTAATCGGACCATCCAGAAAACCAACAGACAAAATCATATGGATCAGCAAATTCCTCTCAATAACAGCTTTAAATTAATATAGTGTCAAGTCAGCAATAAAAATGTACAGACCAGCTGGATTAAAGAACAATATCCAGGGCCAGTGAGATGGCTCAGTGTGCAAAGGTGATTGCCATACAAGCCTGGAGCCCTGAGTTCCATCCCAGGGATGTGTGCAAAGGTGGAAAGAAAGAACTGATTCCTAGAGGCCTGAGTTCCATCCCAGGGATGTGCGCAAACGTGGAAAGAAAGAACTGACTCCAGTAAACTGTCCTCTCACCTCCACACATGCACTCTTCCACAAGTTCTCCCTCCCTTCCCCCCTTCCTTTCTCCTCTCTCTTTCTCTCTTTCACACACACACACACACACACACACACACACACACACACACACACACACACAAAGTGAGAAAACCCCTCAAGATTCCACTATGTGTTTGTCTCTAAGAAACACCTCACTGACAAAGACACCCACAGACTGAGAGACGAGAGATGTGAGTCAGTCTACCAAGAAATAGATGGTGAAACCGAGCTGGTGTGAACGAGCTGGTATAACTATTCCAAAATCTGATAAAGCAGACTTTAACTCAAAATTTGTCAGAAGAGATAAAGACAGCATTAACATGCTAATAAATAAAACAATTTATCAAGAAGATTTTATAGGTATGAATGTGTTCACTAAAACATTGTGAGAATCAATAACATGACTTTATGATGTGTTTCAAGGTCTTAGGAAAACAGGAAGCTGATAAAATTCTAGAAAAAATTTCAGGTAAAAGTTAATAGATTGATTCTAATTATATGCAAATACAAAGGTTACCAAATATTAAGAGCAGCAGATCCTTGCCACAGAGAGGTGCTTGAAGGAGATCACCCAGCTAGAAAGTAGAAGAGGTGGGAATCCAAGGCTGTGTCAAGCATCTCTAGAGTCCTCTCATGAATAAAAGACAAAGTCTTTTTTTTGGTCCTTATTTGCTCTGAGGACACGTCCTATTGAGTTAAGGCCAGCAAAGGCAGTAGATCTGGACATAATTAAGAGGAGGCCACGCCCTCAGGAAGCTCATGGGAAGATCTTGACAGACAGCCTCCAGAGAAGAGGACGGTGTGAATGTGTGGGGCATGGCTTCAGCACAAGAGCTAAGCAGGGTTGAGGGAAGAGCCAATTGCTTGTGGAGATGAAACCAGGGTAGGAAATGGCCTTTAAAGTGAGTTGGAAGTAAAAAGAGAAGGGAACAGGTCTGAAGATTTGGGGAGCCGCTAACGAAAGATCCCAAAGACAAGTGAAGGTGTAGGATCCCCACGTCTTGTAACGTGGCACATTCTGATTCGTTCTTCTGCTGGGACTCATTTCCAGAAGGATATGCCTGGGAGCCTATTAGCAGAAGGTGCAGAGGGGAGTCCTAAGGCTAGGAATAAGACGGTAGGTGTTTGACATTAACATTGTGACGAAATTCAGAGGGAGCTAAGTGTCACAACAGTTGGATGACTTTGGGTATTTTCAGCACTTCCTATAAACAACCCTGTGAGTGCGTGATGGGTGCCGGGAATTCTGAGCTATTGCTGTGGACAGCAAGGCCCAGACAGGCCAGAATGCCTGCTCTGCTAGAGCAACAGGGTGCGCTAGAATGGCGACATTCTAATAAGGTGAGAAGGACAACAAACAATATAAATATGTCAATGAAAAAGTGCTGAGTCATCACAGCTACTATGAGGGAAAACAGGAAAGAGAGGGGACAGAGTGGCAGCGACGATCTTAGCTTTGCAAGGTAGTCAGAGGAGCAGACCTCGGAGATGGCTGTGAACCCCGGGGGTGCAGGGGTGAAAGCAGCGAAGTGTATGGGTCCTGGGGAGCTGCCTCGCAGGCAGAGGCCGGGTGCATTCCCTCACGTTTTACAGGGGAGGGAACTGAAGCCACAGTGGTGGGGCTGAACGCAGCCCACACTTGTTTATTTTGCTCCCGACTCTGCAATTTGGGCAGGACTTAATGGGAACTGCAAGTCTCTGCCCAGTACACGGTCAGCAGAGGTGACTCATGGGAAGGGTCTTTGGGAAGCTGGTCCTAAGGTCAATTTCATATGACGATAATGAAACAGTGTATCTTCGTGTGTGTTTACATTTCTTCCCACTGGGGGTGGTTATATGGATGGTCAGTAATTGTACGCGTGCTTTGGTAAATGACTTTAACAATAGGTTTGTGTATATATTTTATAGTAATTGATTAAATGAACTGTACTTACATATGTTTTACACACTTGTGACGTACTTTTTTCTTAATTTGCTTGATATTTTTAGACTATACTGTTTATAGTTTAGTTTAGTCCAACTGTTTCTTCAGATTTTCACAAATCTCCAAACATGTCTGTTAGTGGGTCTGTGAGGTCAGAGGTCAACTGCAGTGCCAAGCACCTGGCTTCCAACTGTTATCTAGTAGCCACGGAATAGTGATGGGCTCTAGCTTTTGTTTCTCTCCACAGCCATTTCCCCACAGGCAGTTCTAGGGCTAACCTGCAGCTTATGGCTGCAGTCACAGAGAGGGGTATAAGGGAAGCAGACAGAAGACATGTCCCTCCCGAGATCTAGCCTTGGAAGCACAGGTGTTTCTATACTAAATGTGGGGAGTTCCTGGCTGAAGCATGAGTCAGGAACATGTCTCCTTACCCCACTTCAAGGGAGGCATGGGCATCCCCATTCGTTTTATTGTGCTCCAGTCTGATGTGCATTAAACTGCTGTTAACGAAAGCTTTCGTCTTTGCCTAAGATGATGATTCACGAAGCCAGACCCCTACCACCCTGACCACCATTGATGGGGCCTTGCTTTCTTTCATTCTTTCCTGCAAACTTCTACTTTTAGCTGATGCCTGCTGCAACTTTACAGAAAGATCTCTGCACACCGCCCTATCCAACAGCAGGAATAGGCTGGAGCTCCAGATAGAGTTCTTTCTCCTCAGGTCTCCGCTTCCCTGCAGATCCCAGCCTAGTTAGTTACCACACATGCGGGTAGGGACTGGTCTCAGCAGCACAGATGTGATAACGTATCAGTCTGGGGGATGCAGGCTTTTTAGTCCTGTCCCTTTTTGATCCTGTCCCCTTTTAGAACCCAGCCTTCAGGCTTCAGAGAATGTGATCATTGGGAAGACAAGTGACCCTCCTGGAATCCAACGTTAAAAACAAGAAAGCAAAAGAGCTTGATTTCACCAGTATCTGTAGACGCTTACAAAAGACTAGGGAGCCAGGTGTGGCAGTGAGGCTGCTGCCTTTGATCCCAGCACTCTGGGCTGAGGCAGGTGGTTCTATGTGAGTTCAAGGCCAGCATGGTTGGTCTACATAGCAAGTTCGAGGGCATTCAGGGATACACACACACACACACACACACACACACACACACACACACACACACACACATATATATATATATATATATATATATATATATATATCCAGCAGTGCATTTCAGGACTGTGTCAGAGCCTGAGGCTTGAACACACACACACACAAATATATATATATATATATATATATATATATATACAAAAAGAGCTAAAAGCATTTCTTCCCCCACCCCCCCAGTTCCAAAGTCTTTACTGTTTACTGCTTTAGAAAAGATGATCCATCCATCCATTTAGTGGGATGAAGAGCTGTGTCCGGGGATCCCTCAGTAATGCTGTAAAGGACCCTGGTTTTTCCACCTCTACTTATGCATCTGATTGTGGGCTCAAGACTTGTAGTTAATCAGTTCTTTAGGTCTAAACCATAGACTGATCGATCTCTTTCTCAGCATTTTCCCCTGAGTCACTGTCGTGAATGATGTTCCCGCCAACTTGGACCCAGAAATCCCCTCGAAGGGTGCCTGGCTTAGAATCATCTGGATGGGTCTCTCCCAGCATCATTCTGCCTGTCTTCACCACAGTAAGCCCCTCCCAGGCCACGGCCACTCCAGGCCCTGAGTTCTTGTACTTGGCCAGCCCCAGAAAGCATTTCTTAAGGGGGAAAACAACAGCAATAAAAGCCCCAACAAAAAAAAAGAGTGCACACAAGTGATCAGCCTTGAACAAGATGTTGCAGGCAGAGAACCTTGAAGACTACTTAATATCTACAGAGGGGAGGGGGAAGGGAGGTGAAATCGGTGATGGCTCATACACACACCAAAATGAATGGAGATCAATGGAGGCCAGAAGGTCTCTTCTCAAAACTGGAGCAGCAAGCCCTTGAAGAGATAGCAAAATAGCATACCACTATGGAAGGGTGAACTGCACATCATCTCTGCACTGCACACTTGCTGCCCATGATGAGCGCAGCAGACAGCAGATCTGGAGAGAGCAACCCTAATTCTGTTTGGCTAAATTTGCCAAGCATAATAGGTTATGAGCCTGCATGGGTGTTCCTGAGTAATTATGCTTAATTGTTTGTGAAAATCAGAGGATCCATCAGCTACAAGCCCAATTAATTAAATGCAGACACACAAGTCAGGTTGGGGAGGAAGGAGGAGGGCTGGGTTCATCGCAGAATTAAGCCGATGTTATTTTATTTAATTTTGAAAAGCCACAGGAAGATCAGACCTTGTAACAGTGGCTTCCCTGCGACAGTCCGCCAGGTTATGTTAGGGACTACCCAGCAGTGCATTTCAGGACTGTGTCAGAGCCTGAGGCTTGAAGCACCAGGAAGAGACGGGACAGTCTTCACTGCACAATGGAGGAAGCGAGTCAAAGAGATATTTGCCCGAATGATTTGAAGAATCAGGTGAACTCAAGTTCAAGGAGACCCTAGGGATGCCTGTTCCTTACTGTGGAGAACTCACACCCTATTAGGTGGGATGCAGAAAAAGGCAATCCCCCCAATGGGCTTCCCCACACTTCCACCATTTGTGGACCTATTATAATTTCCCCGGTATTCAAGTATGAGTTGTCTTAACATTGATTTTCTGATTTTCCTGTAAATAAGTGAACTGTTTTCCAGGACTGTGCCCTCTTAAAGGCCATTGCCACCATGTCATAACTGAGTTTTTCATCACCTGCCAATGCCTCCTAGTGGAAGATCATGGGTCATTCATTTGAACAAACCACAGAGATAAAATCCCACAGTTCCCCATTTGCCAGTTTTAAAATGCCCCCTTCCCTTTGCCCATGCACTCTAATTTCCTTGAAGATACTCCAGGATTAATGTCCATGACGCCAGTTATTCTATATATAGCGTCCCCTCGAAGGTCCTCTGTGTTCACAGCTGAAACTCAAGTCAGTTCTGAATGTCCTTTTAGGGACAGGGAAGAGACTGTCATCAGGAAAAGGGGCCAGAGGGATACTTCTACATAGATGCCTTTGGAACGCTTTGGTGGTTTCAGATAAGTTGTGAGGGCTTTCATGATCAGATTGGGCCACCCAACAATTTTTGTGTGGACTCAGCCCTATTATTACTTTTAGAGGTGCCTCTGGTTTCCTCTCTGAATCGCTCTGATTTAATTTTGCATCCTGATTTGGAAATGGGTGATGAAAGCCCACGCTCCTAGCAGTGGACAAGTGCTTTGAGATCTGAAGCTGCAGTATGCAGACCTTTCCAGGGTACTTGGCAGTGTCTCCACGGATAGAAAAAGCAGACAGTGTGAGTGGCTTGAATCAGGGAGACCCTGTCAATGGTAAGGATCAGAGGCAAAAAACTGCAGGGACCCACACAGGGAGCTAAAAAAATCCTTAGTGAATTTTCTTCCGGTTCCTTCCCACTTGACCCCACAACTTATTCCTCTGCTCCCAGTGAGTGTGAGCCTAGAGCCCAGCTTCTGTCTTAGCAATCAAGGGAATAATGGTAGAGCTGACAAAAACGTAAGGGTTTAATTCAGTCATGGCTCCAGATGCAAAGACAGCTTTGCGAGTCCAACCCATAGATGACACAGCAGGATCTGAGTCCCTGACCCCTCGCTGGGCTGCCTGTTCCTTTTGACAGCAGCGCTGTTCCAGAACCTTTGTCTCTGGTTTATCCTAGGTGGAATCTGCCCAAGGCTTGCTCCAGCTGCTTCCTGCTCAAATGCTGGCCAGTTTGGTGGCCTAGAACGAGACAGACTGTGAGCTATGAAGACAGCTGTCCAGTGACTGTCAAGTGCTTGTGTGGTACCCACCATCTCTGGCCTGATGGAGACCAAAGGTGATCAGGGCTTCCTTTCCAGCATTGCCTCTCGGAAGGCTTAGTGCAAAAGATGACCGGTAACCATGTGTTTCCTCTAACCGCAGGGAACCTGCCACAGAGCACCCGAGGACAAATCACGACCATTATTATTAAATACAAATTCCCTAAATATGTAGTGTAAAATAGCAATGAGCCGCAGAGTCGGGAGAGGAATTTCTCCTTCTGAAATTCCACTTGGCCAATAATAAGAAGATAACGACAACAGTAAGAACCATAAAGTATTTTGAGCACTCACCATGCACTGGATTCTCTCTGAACAGTGTCTCGGTTTATTTTCATATGAACATACCAAGTAGATGAACGACTCAGATTTACTCATAAGAAAACAAGAACGGGGTGATGGAGCTAGGAAGTCGTACCATTGTGATTACCTTCCACAGGGTCACTGGTCATCAGGATGCTTCTCCTGGAACTGAAAGTTTCCTAAGGCATGGATATTTGTTCCCAAAATTGGGACAGTTTGGCCATCTCTATTATTTTAAAAGCACAGTTTATCAAAAGGACATGGTTAATCTAAGGGTACCTTAATCACATCAAGTTTATTTCACCAATTTCTCATGGTTTGTGAGGATCCACTCTTCAGGATATAGATTTAAATTTAATTAAATTTAATTTGTTAAATTTAATTTGTACAGCCATTATTCTGTTTATAATATTCATTATGGATTGTTTATTTTTTAAAGATCTGTAATTATTTCTTGACTGATGAATGATGAAACCTAGTTCAATTTTCATGAGTGATTCTAGGGTTTTATTGAGAATCTTATTATTGGCCTGATTCTTCCATAAACATGTCATCACTTTGCCTATTAAGTATCTGCAGCATGGACAGTACAGAGCCAACATCATAACTGGAACAGTACAGTTAAACTCGTCTGTGATCAAAATGGTGGCATAAAAGAACTTGGCTTTGTAGTGGGAAAATGCCCGCCCATTTGAAACCTTTTACTCATCTAATAGTTGACAAACAGTGCCAAGTTTTCTACTTCGTACCACATGCCCCACAAGACGTACCATTCGGTAGTTAGCAGGCCATTCTCCACAGTCCAGCAGAGTGGTGGATCGTGGCCACCACCTGCACAGCTAATGATCTGATCTAGCAATGGTCCAGATTCAAACGTGAGTTATGATTAGCACTAGAACATTCGGATGGAGGCCCTTGACAAACCAAGTGATGGCTCTATGAGTTCAATGATTAGGTCAGAACTCTGTAGCAGGGTCAGGGGACATTGCTCTCGGCTAGGGAGAGGAGAAATGGGAAAGCTTTGCTCGGCACACACGTTGTCTTGAGACTGTGAAGAGAATGATAGTCAATCTAGAGGTGTTAGGAAAGGAACTGTGGCGCGCAAAGAGACTGGGAAGAAAAAGCCTGACTGAAGATGCCGCTGGATGTCACTATGAGGAGAGTAACTGATAGCATCCTTTCTCGGGCAGTCAACCCTGTCCAAATGAGGATGTGGCTTTGTGTATGCAGAGGCATCAGGGGCCTTTATTCTACCATTGGCATGAACCTCACTGGTTTTCACATATAGAAATTGAAGCTTGGAGACAGGAAACTAGAAACTCACCCTGTGAGAAAACGATAAAACCATATGCTAAAGAAGTCACCCATAGCGGGTTTATTCTTTCTAGATGCTTCCAAACATCACAAGCTCAAGTTTCTAAAATGGAAACGACCCTTGTTGGGGTCACCCCTGTGGAAAACTTTGACTATTTATGTTAATCACCCACTACATGGTAAAGCCAGAGACAGCAGTTTCCCCACTTACGACAGCTCTTCAATGCTTCATTGCTTTATTGGTATCATTTTAACGTTGCACATGGCTTTTCTTGGAGCTTTAGGGCAAATGTGAAAGAGGCTCTGAGATGGTCTTAACAGGATGAGAAGGAACAATCTGCAGCCTGGCTGAGTGGGCTCCAGGCCGGCAGGCACATTGGGGGCGGGGGAGTTCCTAGAACCCTGAATCAGAGCTCATTCCTGGCTTAACTCTGGAAGGCTCAGAAGCAACAAGGAGCCTGTATGATTCAGAAAGCGCTCCCAAGGATGTGAGAGTGGTCTAGGGATTTTTTGTTTGTTTGTTTGTTTTTCATTAAAAAGTAGACTTTGCCGGGCGGTGGTGGCGCACGCCTTTAATCCTAGCACTCGGGTGGCAGAGACAGGCAGATCTTTGTGAGTTTGAGGCCAGTCTTGTCTATAGAGCGTGATCCAGGAAAGGTGCAAAGCTACACAGAGAAACCCTGTCTAGGAAAAACAACAACAACAACAACAACAAAGTAGACTATTTGTCAATTCTTTGAGAATTTCATATAGCGTATTTTGATCATATTCACCCTGAACTCCATGGAACTAACTCCTCTCAGATCTACTTCCACCCATTACCCCCTCTCACCTTTGTATCCTCTTTAAGAATTTTAAAAATTTGGGCTGGAGAGATGGCTCAGAGGTTAAGAGCACTGACTGCTCTTCCAGAGGTCCTGAGTTCAATTCCCAGCAACCATATGGTGGCTCACAACCATCTGTAATAAAATCTGGTGCCCTCTTCTGGCCTGTAGACATACATGCAGGCAGAACATTGTATACATAATAAATAAATAAATAAATAAATAAATAAATAAATAAATCTTAAAAAAAAAAAAAAGAATTTTAAAAATTTGCCAGACGGTGAATGGCACATGCCTTTAATCCCAGCACTTGGGAGGCAGAGGCAGGCAGATCTCTGTGAGTTTGAGGCCAGCCTGGTCTACACAGAGAGATCCAGGACAACCAGAGCTGTACAGAGAAAGCCGGTCTTGAAAAAAACAAAAAAAACAAAAAAAAAAAATGTTTTTAATTTAATTAAAACCAGCTCTCTAACCCTTTCCATGCCCCCCTCCTCAGATTCATAGCCTCTTTTCTTTAGTTATTATTGGTATAAATATTCCAATATACAAATGCAACTTGCTAAGTCCATCTATGTTGCTTGGATGAGTATGATTTTAGGGCTGATCCCTTGATAGTGAATAACCATTCAGGGGCTCATCCTTAGGGAAGACTAATTCTCCCTCTTTTAGCAGTCAGCAATTGCTTATAGCAATAAAGGAAAATCATATCTACTCTGTGGTCTGCTAATACTGAGTGAGCCGACTTGTGCCCGGTCCAGAGCTCAGAATGCATGTGTAAGCTTCCCTCACCTGATGTTTGCTATTGTGAGCGTTGTGCTAGGCATTGATATTCTTGCAGCATTCCCTGATTTTAAAAAAAAAAAAAAAAACTTCATTAAAAAAAGCATCATTATGTGTTCAGCTTTTCATTATGGATAAATTCAAATCTATAAAAAACAAACAAACAAACAAGGGACTATAAGAACACCCATCCTCAGTGGCAACATTTATCAACTCCTTGGCCAGTGTCTTTCACTTTTCACTCTCATTCCCCCACCTTGGTATATTTTAAAGCAAATCTCACATATTTTATCTAAAAATATTGGGTGTTGTTCGTCTGTCAGCTTCCTAGTTCTATCTCTGCCACAATCTAAGTGTCTTTTAAAAATAATTTATTAAGACTTTTTTTTTTAAACAAAGAACTTGAATAAATGAATAAGAAGCACCTGCATTGTAGAAGGGGATGTAGAGCGATTGGGTTTTGTAGTGCTGACTCTGTCACGGATATCCCGAGTTTGGGTGGTGGATAAGTGTGAAAGTATGTACACAGTGAAAGTGTAAAACCCAGCACGAAGCCCCACAGCTTCAGAACGGCTGTTCTAACCGAACACTGGACTGTGTGATGTTTTTATTTCTGAGTTCCGTAATGAAGTTTTAAATCCCATTTTTTTTTTTTTTTTGGTGGATGGGATTTATTAAAATCTCATGTGGAGTAACAATGTTTGTAGCATGAAACTAAGCCCTGACTGATTTTAGCTCCGAGTTTCAACAAATCAGATCTTTGTACTATTCTCGGATGTTCTTTCTCATCACTTAAAAGCACAGCTACCACCTCTAGGTGAGAGAACACAGAAGGGACTTACACAGAGGAGGAAGCAGGCTCCCTCGGCGCTTTCCTTAATCACAGTTTATTGTGGCTTGAAGACACAACACACTTGATTGGCCAGATCATACATCACTCAGGAATACATTTTATTAGCATCAGATATTGTTTAGGGAACTGCGTTTCTGTTGATGCTCTTAGTTCTGAACAGCTGTAATAGGAGGCGTCGAAGGAAGTTGCTTATTATTGTGCTCATTAATAACTAGCCTTACCCATGATTCTTTGGGGACTGTAATCAATGCAAACAAAAGTTGCTTTGTTAACGAGGAAGTGATGCTCTTTTGGAAACTGCTATACCCTCGAAACATAAAAACAAAAAGCCAAACAAGAAACAATTCCAGACACCAGGAAACCATGCCCTTTCGTTCGTTCGTCCCTTACACCGTGCGGGCTATTTACCGGCAAGAGCGCCCTCTGTTGTTTCCCAGATACTTCGCCTTTTCTTGGTTGACTTTAGGATGCCCGGTCAGGTGCTGTCTGATGGACCCAAACCAGATAGTCCAGGAGAGGACAGAGCTGAGGTGTGCTGAGGCTCAGAATCCACCCTCCCCTTTTTTTTAAATTATGCCACTTATAAAACAGCATTTTTCCTAACAGAAGCGCTTGCTGAGGGGCTATCAAAATGGAATGTTGTGCTGAAGCCATTTAAAGACCAGAAACTTTAACCCCTTAGGATTAAATCAGATCCTTAGGGAACCCATCTAGAGGCTTCATTCAGAGCCAGGGGCTCATTCCCCTTTGCTTAGAGGGGCAGTTTTGAATGCCCAGCAGGTCCACGAAGGCCCCTTTCTCAGCGGGTAGAAACCCCTGGCTTTCTCTCCCCGGGGTACTAGGAAGGCAACCCCGCACTGGTATGGGTTCAATTGCTTAGTAAGCCAAAGATACAGTTCTGTATGCTTACTTCTTCATGCTTGGTTTTGTTTTGCTTTATGCTTTCATTGTTGGTGCTGTGGGCTTTTCTTCATTCTGTGAATATGTCCCTCCCTGAAAGTTCAGGATTAGGTCCAATCACTCCTCTCTCTCTCTCTCTCTCTCTCTCTCTCTCTCTCTCTCTCTCTCTCTCTCTCTCTCTCTCTCTCTCTCTCTCTCTGCCCCCTTTGAGACAGGGTCTCACTCTGTAGACCACACTGCCCACAAATTTGGAGATCCTCCTGCCTCTGCCTCCCTAGCGCTGAGATGAAAGGCGTGCCCACCCACCATGCCTGGCCCCAGTCACCTCCCTAAGCTTAGGTT